TTCCATAGCAAGAGAATACAAGGAGATTTCCTCCAGAGGGGAGCCCTCTCCCCTCAGAGAGAGCTGCAGCTGCCTTAAGCACATACTCAGGGATTAGGCTAAATCCTGCAGCAGGTGGAGGAGTGGGAGGGGAGACTCTCAGGGAGCTGGGGTGTGGGAAGGGGTGGGCAGTGGCAGGCCTAGGGTGTGCACCTGAGTGTCTGTACCTAGGAATGGGTCTCTTTATGTTCCTTCAGCACTATACTGCCCCTTAGTTCTGCCAGGCGAGGCCCTGGATTTTAGGGGCAAGGATAGTAACCACTAAGTTGGATCTAGGGCTATACAAACAGGAGGAGGGGGGAGCATGCAAGAAGACACAGTTTCCCCTGGGGAGCAAAGAAAGTGGTATAAGGGGTTGCTTCTCATTGAAAATCCTTTATGCCAGTGGAGTTTTTGTTTAAATTGTTTAAACTGTATGCCTCTTTAAAACTGTCCTTTCCATGGGGCGCCTGGGTGGCTCAGTCGGTTAAGCGTCCGACTTCAGCTCAGGTCATGATCTCGCGGTCCGTGAGTTCGAGCCCCACGTTGGGCTCTGTGCTGACAGCTCAGAGCCTGGAGCCTGTTTCAGATTCTGTGTCTCCCTCTCTCTCTGACCCTCCCCCATTCATGCTCTGTCTCTCTCTGTCTCAAAAATAAATAAACGTTAAAAAATTTAAAAAAATAAAAATAAAAAATAAAACTGTCCTTTCCAAAGTGGTGCCCATCCCCTGAGAACTCATTAGAAATGCAGATTTCCAGACTTCACCTCAAACCTGCCAAATACAAAATTCAGGGGTGGAGCCCAGCAATCCAAGCCCTCCAGGTGATTTTTTTTAAGTTTATTTTTTTTTTATTATTTTAATGTTTATTTATTTATTTTGGGAGAGAGAGAGAGAGAGAGAGAGAGAGAATCCAAGCAGGCTCTGTTCTGTCAGAGCCCAATGCAGGGTTTGACCTTACCAACTGAGATCATGACCTGAGCTGAAATCAAGAGTTGGACGCTTA